CTAACTCCTATGTTCCTTTCTGGGATTGTAGTTCTTAACATTCTGAGATTAAATCTCGACCTCATAAATTCAGAAAGCTTCATGCTGAGACTTGATGCTTTGCACCAGAATGGAGCAAAGAAATGTTTCTGATCACTAACTGATCCAATTAATCTCAATATGCATTTAACAAGTACTTCTCTGGCTCAGCCTTACCACATCAGAGTCACATACGTCAGCTGCATCTATTTAGTTTAACTAAGGTCAATAACAAACAAGCATTTGCACAGGATCAGAATCTACCTAGTGAACAAATGACATCTATTATATAGAACCATGAACATACTATGAATCATCTTTTCTTAGATTGTGTACACAAACAAGAACACAGCAACTTACATCAACAACATGTATCCAGTGCCAGCTGAAAGCAGTGTGTGTCTTCGCCAGTCACAACACCGTCTTTTTACTTGGGACTCATTTTCTGGGCAGTTTTGAGTTATCACTCACAATTCGTAAAAAGTACCGTTCACTTTTTAATTTTGACCTGTGAGTAACATGACAACACAAGTCACTGATAACACTCCCAACTGCCCTGAATGAAGCAAAGCAAATCTTTTCCTCCTAATCAAAACTAGAAGGAATGTCTATATCTGTATCTGATGGATTTGCAAGCTCAACCAAGGGTTCCTGCAGATCCCAAAACTACCACATGAGACAATTAGCGAAAACGTGGGAAAAGCACAAAAAGAATACCACATGAGAAAATTTATAACTGCACCTACTGAATTCCATTTGAAATTATTTGAAATTAAGAGGGAAAAATCTAAACTTCATCACAAACAGTGTCTTCAACATCATGGCAAGTTTCATTCATGTGCACAATGGATATTTTCATTTGTAAAAGGGCCAACAATACAGAGATGAAAATAAGGTTACAATCAAAGTAATAAACTAACATATATTCATCATATAAAATTTTGGTTTTGCTCTGTTCTTTTTTGCTATTCATAGAAAAAAATATAAGTTTGTCTACAGTGGGATGTAGAGCAGCAATTAGTAATAATGCTGCAACATGAACATGCCATGCCTTGTAAAATGCTTGTTTGCCCAGTCGCATTACCTGCTCATCATCATCAGCAGAGGAGTGTACAATTGTCATGGGTAACGAGTTCGTGACTTCATTAGCAGCTCCGTGCAAATCCTGTCCAAGTAGATACATCCAAGTGACCAATGATTTTCATATTCAATTATGGTCAAAGGAATATAGACTAAATGTTTCTGGACGAGATTTCACATACTTTACTTGGTCTTTCAGTGAGAGCTTTTGAAAGATCTTCTGGACTTCCCTGCAAATACCAAGACATAAAATTTGAGACTTAAAGCCCAGTCAATTCTAGCAACATAAACATAATAGATGAGAAAGATAGATACATGCTGATCCGGGTTGGCAGAGAATTCCCCTTCCATAATTGAAGGCTTGACATCAACTGGGGTTTCCTGTAAATCCCATTGATATCATTGGTTAACACTGATGCAAACAGTAGCCAGAAATATATGCCCCAGAGGCTTCTAATTCATGAAATTCCTCAATGCAAAGAAACTCAGAAATAAACAGCTAAGCCATATGAAGAAAAGAAGTAAAAAAACTACGGCAAGTGGATCAGAGGTTTTTTATTTTAAACCACCAACGAGTAGAGATCCAAACTAAGCTCGCAAAAGCATAGCATCAAAGAAAGTGAGCCACTTTTTGAACCAGGACTTGGCTTCTATTAGTGAACAAACATATACAGTAAACAAGCCCTTTCTGGTCTTACATACAGGCTCATTTTGATCTATGGAAAGGTTCCTTCCCCCCTTACTGAGATCTCTCAATGTTCCCTGCATATTCAACAAACAGGACAAAAAAATACAGGAATCAGAATAGATAGCTCAAGATACCTTTACGAGCAAGAGAATACGTATGAAGGTAAGCTTGCATAAAAGAAATCATTAAGCTGAATTTATCTTTACTTTAAAAAGCAACTGACGAAAAGCATAGATAAGAAATTGGCTTAAGTAACATAAACAAGACAGAGAATTAAAATGAAGACTAATTACAAATTCCTGGAAATCAATACAATTCAATATCTTGCAGAAAAACAAAAAAGACAGGAATCACTATCAAGCGAGCAAGTTAGGAAGATCAAATCATCAAAAAAGGAGAAGGCTTGATAGTATCTGTTCGCTACGTTGTTAGACAGTGAAGGGCATCATAGAACATATCAACCCATCCACAAGATTGCAGCTCACAAAAACTTAAGTCCTCTAGAACAGTGATCAAAAGTTGGGATCTCCAGTTATAAAATGATAAGCAAACTCATGTAAAAATTGAAGATCAGGGTGCAATCAGATCTTCAATTGAAATGGATGTAGCATGTGTTTGTGTTTGTGTAGTGTCAGAGAGAGAGTGATTAAATCCAATCACTCAATCCAAACAATCAACTCTGGTAGATGACAGACATGATGAGAATAGTAAAGTTTCCACTTCACATAGCATCCAACCATGAACTTGAAATGTGGTCATTTTGCATTAAATCATACATCTCAATGAGGTCCAAAATAACATCAGAGAAAGAAAAAAACCTTGTTTGCCCACATGAGCCCACATGCATTACATAAAGTCCTTGGTCCAGCTGGCCCACGACGCATTGCAGGAGTATTGTTTTCACCAACACCACAATGCTGACACCTTCGGATGCTAACATCATTTAAGAAAAAAGAAAAAGACAATAACAACTAGCAGTTAGTCACCTAAATACTTCCTTCAAAATTCATCACTACAGAGAACTCCAAATTCCCAAGTACAGAACTCACACAGTTTCGGGACGAGGAGTGCCATCATGAAGACAACTTTGTGTAGAATCCCAACTTGAACCACCTGAACTTTCTTTCAAGGATGCAAACTGTCCATTCTTTCTATGCATCCTA